CATCGCTAATAGAGAACGTGGCACGAAATATGAAACGCTGACAAAAAGTTTTTGTTAATTCCACAAAGAAAAATGATTAGAAAAAAATTCTTTTTATAGCTTATAAAAGATGAAATAATAATAATTTCTTACTTCACTTTCTTCGATACTCAACTCTGTGTAACTTTTTATTCGCGTTTGTTGTTCGTATTTGTCACGCTTGAGTTATCACATTGGATATATTGAAACTGAGATTTTGTTTAGCTAATCGATTATTAAATCGATGGAGCAAAAAAGAGAAACTTTGCGATATGCTACTATTAAAAAGCTAAAGGGATAAATCTATTTAAAATTCGCTCAACACGGTTAATTGAATGGAATTTTCGATTTTATTTTAAAAAGTAATAGGAGAAAAAAGTTTTTTATACCATTTTACCATTCATCTTAAATGTCGTTTACAAGCGATAAATCATTTTTAATCACGAATTTTTCACCGAAAATTGTTTTTACAATAAATAACAAACGTTTTAAGTTACTTCACTTTATTCACTGTCCTTTTTTTTTGGTAACATTTATGTTAAATTACTGTTGGATATCACTTATTACACTTACAAATCCGTGTTATATTCGATGAAAAGTTTATTGTATAAAGTAAAATAAAAGTAAAATTATCTTAAATTTTTACTATTCTTTCCATCCTCGACATCAAAAATTGTAGTACATTAACATAATACTACAATAATTAGATCCCATTCTATATATAAAATTTTACAATAGTTCAATATCCATCATTATGTATTTGATAGATTATTATAAAAGTTTATAAATAAAATAAGGCCTAATTAAAATTATATAAAGTTTATGTATAGAATAAGGCTCTGTATACACGAATAACATTTATTTTTTCATCTAACATTTCATCTATAATAGAGATATTTATTTGTATTCATCTCTATCGGACGGTGGTTACAATTATACAACAACAATAATTTTTACGTTTATTAATGTATTTTAGACATATTTTATTGATAAAAAACAATTATAAATAAGTATTTTTTTTAAATACATATCAGCATTACATCACGAACGAGTGAGGAAAGTAGGAAAGAGGCGGAGTCTGAGTTAAACGGCATCGCAACAGATGGTGGAATCGTTCCCTGGTGATAATTACTAAATGAAGGTTGAACGTTGACTTCTGGAGTCATTTTATCCTCATTGTTGCTGATGGATGACAGGTATCTTTAAATTCAATAGAAGGTCTATTCTCTTTAAACACAAGTGGAACGAACTGAATACTATTTATACCCTTAACGCTGCCACATCTCTCTTCCAAATTCACACTCGTTTCGATTATAATTTGAAATTTTTATTAATATACATTTTCTCTACAAGTTTGGCTATAGACGTAATATAAAAATTGTGACGAGAGATAATATTTTATATTATTAAATAAAATTCCTCTCGCTCTCGATACGAGTCGCGAGTTAAATATTTTCATCGCTAAGGTCTTCCTTTAAATTATGGAGAACGGCACCGAGAAATTCGTAATTATTTTATTTATCGGATAATAGGAGCAGCATATATGTATAGGGTCTTTAAAGAAAACGGGAACAAACGCTGTGAAGAATAAAAAATAAATAAAAAGTTTGATGCGAACGAGGGTCAGCGAACCATCAAACGCACGCGTATATGCACAATTTCCCTCAACAGCACGTGCAGAGGAGCTCAAGTTCTAATCACAGGGAGTCGCACATAACGGTAGTGAATGATGTACCGCAGCCTGTAATCTAAATAGCTCATAGTCTACAATCAGCGACTGCAACCTGCCTTTTTGCACAATAGGACTGGTGACAAGTCTTTCCTCGCCGGTTTTTGTTTTTAGTTCGCCGCCTTTATCCCCTAATTCACAGTCACAAAGGAGACGTTACCGAGTCGGCTGAACTTTCCAGACACTGTCATTTGCCAACCATTCTCACCCCGCATTTCTAAACCGATGATTAAATTCAATTGCTTGCTATCTCCTCTTGCCTTTCGGGATGTAGTTGGAGTGGTGTGTTGGCCACCAATTGTTTTCGGCTCGCGATGTTGACACAGTAAGCCACCCGGTCTCTCATTACCCATCATTTGTGGTCTTCTAAGGTGCGAAGAACTACGACACCCCCGCTCGCTTAATGGACCAACTTAACTCACTCGAGTTTTAGTTGGAATGGGTTTTTTTTTTCTGTTGGCACGACTTTAAAAATCATTTACACGTGTTTAAGAAGCTTATTCTTTCTCTACGGTTTCTGGAAAGAATCTCACTTAGTAATTTATGTGGAAAAATCCCGAGTGGGTTTGTAAAGGGTGAGAACCCTATACAGTTTCCATGACGACGAGAATGCTGCTTGGGGCTCGGATGAAATAAAAGTGAATCGGTAGTTGATGCACTATAATTAAACGTGATTTTTCATTAGATTGTGTAGTCGCCCGGGGTGAGAGTTTCTTGAGTTGAAGACGTCATCAGTCGGATTGGAACCTGCCGGAAGCCACGTCACTCAATTAGTATTCGATTACTATAAAGTTATACTTTATGGAAGTTTACTGCCGACTCTTTCCTGTCTCCTTGCGAAGTCGATAATTGAGCCGTCCCTATTTTCGTTTTCGGGGAATTTTCTACAATATATTTACAAAATGTTTAAAGGGGTGGAAGTGTCTAAGTAATTCTCCTGTCCGATTAGGAGTGGCGCCATCTATTGTAAGGAAAAGCAATTTCCTCAATTTTAACGAAAGAATCTTTTAATATTTTCCAACATTCTCGGAAAATAATCATTTTTAGTAACTGCTTAATTTGTTTAAGTACGCCGTAAAAATTTTATTAAGAATTTTTTCAAATTTACTGATATTTTATAGCATAGACTCGATCAAACCAAAATCCATCCCAATGGAATCAGTTGTCAAATTGTTGGCTTTTATCGATCAACCATGTAAGTGAACTTTCGATTCCGGCATTGGTTACTTACCTTTTCCAGTGGAATTTGAGAAAATTCAGTTTTTTCCTATCTCTGGGCTATTTTCTCTTCAAGGGCAAGAGATCAAGCGAGAGAATCTCATCTAAACACTTCACATTTACACATCGACGATTTCGATTGTGTGCTGGAAATAGACTAGGATGGAATTTACTTTTATTAGGTAGGCACGGCCTTTACGCCTAGTTAGGAAGTTTTTATAGTCACTTACCTAACATGCATCGTTACATCTTGAGTTAAAATATCGAATCTCAATGAAAAAATTCTACTTCTGTAATGAATCGAAACGTAAAATTTGTCTTTGTTTTCATCTTTTTTCTCCTATAAAAATTCAGTAAATATATAAACATAAAATATTGAAGATCGGCAAGATTGCATCGACGACTCCGAATTAAAAACTTAAATTACAATCGAGTAAGGGATAATACAAATTACTTCATTAACAATGAAACTTCTAGCAATTTATTGACATTCTTACTGCTATTTTTATTCAATCCAATTTCATTTTAAAGGCTCAAATATTATATCATGGTTATATCTTCAGTTAACTACACAGAAGATCCTCCAAAGATTTATATTATTATCGGAATATATTAGAAGTCCTATAATTTAAATTTCTGTTATAATGAGAGATAGATTTATCATGAATAAATATTGAAAATATGCTTAAAAACACTAGAAAGTTATTTAGAATATATAAATTGTTGGTGGTAGACGGTATTGAAAGAAAAATGTTTGGAGCACGTAACGTGAATAACTGGAAAACGTGATCTAGTGATCGCCATAAGGATTGTAACTTGAAGTTTACACGAATAGAATACAATAAGAAATAGAAAGTTTAGGGATTGTTTAGCGATTAGGGTGTTGCTGCCTCAGACAAACAATCGACAGATGGGTATATCATCAACATCTGCAGCAGAAACTATTATTCGCTATTTTTTTTTAATTGTAGAATTGAATATTATAAGTATATATTTATTTTAAAGAATATTTCATGAAAGCATGGAGCATTAAAAGAAAGTTAAAGCAGATTCGTTTCTTCAGAGTTAAGCTGATTGCAATCATATTCTGATCATCAATTCCAATGATTATCACTACTTCAGAACACAGGGTATGTCAATCGCACTTTTCACTCAAGCCACAGTAACAATTAGACCTCGGGGAAAATCTTTACAGACAGCCACGATTATAGACTCAGTACAACAATGACAAGTTGAAATAGTTCGACGAACTTAAGATGGCCGTCAATGTATAATGCAAGCAATTTTGAGACATCAAACAGTATAAAATTTTTGAGTATGTAACTCTTAAAGTCCTTATTTTAATCATTGATCAGTGCACTTTCATTCTGTAAAGTGACATTTTAATATCGCGTCGAACTTGTTTGAAATCGTCTACGAAATATCACGGCGTAAAGAATGTTATTTTTGAAACAGCTTAGGTTCGAGATAATCGTAATGCCAAAGCTTCGACTTACGAGTCAAAAATTTCTTTAATATGTGACTTTATCCGCGGTGTAAACAGTTTAAGGAGATAGAAGTGCGTGGGGTACAGCAAGGTTGCCACCCGGATTGCTCGACACAGAACAAACTTGTCTTTTTAATATGTAGCCCATTGTTATAAGGGAAGACATTGCTTTATTAAGTAAGATAGCCCCGAATAGTTGACATAAATGTCCTCCAAGCTTGGAACTGGTATTGTGATATCGTGAACCAACATAATAATGGGGTAGAGAACAATAATTATCATCCTAACAGAATCTGTTATATTACGAAAGCCAGAATAAGAAAATGGAAATGTTTCATTTATATTATTTAAAAGATTATTAAAATGCTTCTTTAATATTATAAATTTCTCTTATCGAGTGTGAATTCTGAAGATAAACTTTCATTTCAATTATGCATATTATATTGTGCTATTAAAAAAAAAAAAACAATATACGTAATAATAGTATAACGATTGGGAAGATATAAGAAGCGTATTTATTTTATTTTATTTTTTGATTTTGTATTTTGGAGTCTGATGACGTCAAATATGAAGAAAAGAAGGAACAATATGAGTGAAGCGAATGTAAGTAATTCTAGACTCTTTCATCTGTTTTTCGACGCAAAAGTTTCGTCACTCGTCAGCCTATGAGCTAAGTAAGCAGTCGATTTCTGTTATAGGTGTCTTCTTACGTCAACTTCTGTGGTAGAAACAAACTTTCCTAGAGTAAATATGAAATCCGAAACATTGAACCAAATGTAATACTGGCGGCAGAGAGAGACAGAATATTACAACCTCATTCAAATGCTAAACTCGTCTTAAAGTTCTCCCCCCTCGTCAAATCTTACTAGCTTATATAAGTATGCATATAGCCCGAGAGACGTGTCTCTAATGAATGTTATATAGATTAATATTCATTTTAAAACATGTTTATGACGATATTAAATCTTAATTACTTTATTTTTCTACGTTTTAAAGACTTTTAAAACGGATAAAATTCCGATTAAAAGGCTTTAAAATTATCATTTTAAAATGAAAAAAATTTTTTTATTCGTTGTTAGTAATGTCTAGAATGTAATTGGTTCTTTTTATTTTCGGATCGTGTATAAGAAGACTTAAATAAAAATTTCTATTTGAAAGTTTTGATAATCGCCAATTGGTTTGAAACAATTTCAATTTGTTTACGTCATAATTGATTTGGAAATTTAATTACGTAATTACGAAGTTAATTTGTGGAGTATAAAATCGGTTTGAGTTTTAATACCTGTAAAATATATTAAACGATTGAAAGAATCATGAACGAAATTCGAGAGATTTCTTTCTTCTTTTTTTATTTCTCTCAATTTCAAAATATAATGTTCTGACCAATGAGAGAAGAGTCGTAAGAAACAGGCGTTACTTCCGGCAAAAGTCCGGACTTCCGGTGCTTGGTGGGTGTCGCCATTTTTGTGCCGGGAGAGGGGAATTTAGGGGGGAAATGTTTCTTTTCTCTCTTTTTCATGTCGTATCGATGTCGTTTGGTGATGTTGGTCATTTGTTGGGGTGATTTATCAGGAATAATCCAGCGATTGTAGAATGGACTTTTCCTATATGAATGGGGAGGATGTGGCCAGTCATCGCATCCCACAATACAGCACGTTTGGGTCGCTATCGTCAACGAGGATGCGGAATTTTCGTTCGGGTACGCTATCGCTCAGCGATAAAAGGGGCGTCGACTAGGGACGCCTCCACTTTCCCCCTCGTGTTATCGGCAGCCATTCCACGCCTGGCAAAAATTATCGCTCGGTAGCTTCAGATAGGGCGAAAATTATTGACGGTTTGCATGCTCCCCTACTTTAGCGTTTCACTTGTCTTCCCTCCCCTTTTGGTCATTTCGGGATGTCATTTATAATCCACAAACGTTCCGTCTTTGTTTTTTAAACCGAGAGTAGTGATAATAAACGAAAAAGCGGACCCGCTGCAATTTGCTTGCTCCCAACCTCGTAAAAAAGTTAAGTTGCCAAAGCTGCACCGATAATGAACATGAGATGGTGTTAATTTTAACGTTTCTCTACTCTTTTCCATGTCGTTTTATATCCTTTTTGCTGATTTGCCTGCCGAGTTAATAGTCACCATGTCCGATTCATCCTCCTTATCTGACAGTTGACTATGTTTAAGTGGTTTTTGTATCTAATATCGGAAGATTTAAAAAAGTTAGTGTCGCGCGAGGAAATTTGGTTAATCGTCTTGATTTTAATTATTGTTCATTTTCACATTGCCGACAAAGAAGCAGATTTAACGTTTCTGCAAATAAAAGAGTTTTATTGGAGATAAATGTGTTTTAGCAGTTGGAATTTAAGAATATGCCAAGCTTGGAAATCAACTTTTGCTGCCAGTCGGTAAACACAACACGAAAATTCTCTTATCTTCCATCTTCAATTTTAATTTATTTCAAATTAATTTCGTCAAATATCGATTTCAAAATAGGTGCTAGAGAGGGAGGTAGATTTCACAGATAGGATAAAAGTTCATTAAGAAAACTGTAGTTTTAAAAAAGATTCGAAATCATAAAGTAAATTAGACGTCGACTAGACGCCAAAGGAAACAAGCCATCGTGAAGGAAAATTAACCTATTATGTAAGAGGAAAGGAAAATTACGAAGCAAAAAAATTGTTAAGAAGTAGTTAAAGGTCTGATTGGAGTAATGGAGTTTAGAATTGAAAGTTGTAGATATTTAAGAAAGATAAAGGGAGAGTGGTAAAATAGAAGGCTAAAAGCTTGCTAAGATGGTGGAGTGTGTAACTAGAGCCATTACAAAGAACATAAAGAGCAAGCAACAATGGATCGGTAATGAAGATAGAAAAAGAATAGAAATAAGATTACACAAAAGTACAACATCTCGGTTGGGTTTTGATTTTTAGGAATTTCGAACCTTCTACTCTTTTTCGACATGGATTGGGTTTAGCAGACTCACCAAGCCACTCGCTTCTTCCATCTAATCTTGCTAAGAAATGAAAATAAATACATTATAATTTAAAATAATAGGTTGGACTAAGCTGAAAATAAATATAAATCTAAGTCGACAGAATTTAACTGTAAAATATTTGAAAAATTCCGTAAAGAAATGCAAAGAGAGAAAAATTGTAGAAGGAAAAATATGAAAAACGGGGATTGAATCAGAATGAAGAGCTGTCGTAAAAATCTATGGAAGACTAGGATTAAATACGAGGAATGCTATCGTGAAAAGACATAATGTAGATCTGCCTTAGGCTCTTTTTAAAGTTTATTCACTTTTTTCTTTTTATTCAATAACGTATTCTGAGGAGTTTAAGAAAAATATTTCAGATTTTCTCACAAGAAAATGGTTATTGTCGCAACGACTTTTCCCATGTCGAATCTTTATCGCTGCTACTGTGATGAAGATTGTTGGATTTTTATTCTAAGGAAAAGAAGTTCGACGTTTGTCAAAAGTTAACTGAAAGATAAGAAGTCAATTCCTACAAAAACCCAAATAAACTGAAAATAAGTAATTAAGAAATATTTTCAAATTCAAATTCTCCAAATTACTTTAGACTCAATCGTTTTTTTTAATGGCAATTAATTATAAAAGAATTAAGCACTTCTTTCATATATAACTTATATTTCAATTATTTAATCATTTTTAAGTTTAATATATTAAAGCATAAACCCAATAATTCATATATAAAAATAGAAACTTGCCGTTTAATTAAAAGTTTAAAAAAATAAAATTAAGAAAGATACTTTTAAAAACTTTTTAAATATTATATTAAAGAATTCATGAGATTAAATCGATTTTACTATATAAAAGCATTAATTATAGCATTTTAAAATAAATATATATTGTCTAAGATTTAATATAATTCTGTAGCTTATTACATTTGTATACAAAATACTCCTTTTATACATTTAATAAGCTTTTATTTTATAAANATAATTAGATCCCATTCTATATATAAAATTTTACAATAGTTCAATATCCATCATTATGTATTTGATAGATTATTATAAAAGTTTATAAATAAAATAAGGCCTAATTAAAATTATATAAAGTTTAAATAATTGAATTATATTAATCCCTTCGGGATTTAAATTAATCCTCTAAGCTATGCATTTTAATTGAGATCGCTGAAGTTAATTTAATAAGGTAAATGCATCTGAAGCATTCTGATTTTTGGTTAAATATTCAACAGAGAGAGAAGTTTCTGAAGCTGAAATGAATAAGAAATTTGTCATAATTATTTAAAAACCCAAATTAATTAAATTATAGTTAGGCCTATTGGTTTTTATATATGATTACGAATACCATACGTGAACTCTGAAGTTCAGGTAGCATTTATAGGCTAAAAATGAAAACAAAGTTGTGCTGGATAATAAGATAAATTTATTTATTGATATAATATAGTATTTAATTTAGAATTGTTCTATAAAATAACTCTATTGATTATAATAAAGAAGAAAAATTTAATTCTGCAAAGAAATTTTGTCATCTCGAAACATTTTTCTCATTTGTTTTAGCCTTTAATTTTTGATAAATATTGAGAAATTTTAAAGTTTTACTATAGATTATAGGCCTAATGCTTACGCCTAAAGAAAAATTAAGTCAAATGATGATAATATAAGTCAGTATTTACAATTTAAATGACAAATCGTGGTGACAAAGTGTGTGTCTGAACAGTTTAAATGTAGATTATTAGCTGTGTTTGGTCAATATTTAGGACTATTTAAAAGTTTTAATTTGATATTTTTTGTAATAAATTAAACTATATAGTTTAAAATATTTCATGTTTTTCAGTTAAATTAAATTGATGAGTTCGAATAGTTGCTTTACACTTATAGGAGACTCGAGTCTACGATGTAATGTAAGAATTGATTTTATTAATAGAATTTGATTTTAATTTAATAATTTAAATGTATAATTAACAATTATATAGTTTGTAAAGTCAATATTCAATTGAAGTACAATCGGATAGTGACATTAAAACTACTGTACAAAGTTGAATAGTCGACAAGAAATCAGAGGTGCTTTTAGAAACGTAATAAGAAATTTAAAAAGAAACAATTATATTGAGCAATTCTGAATATAAAATTTGCATTATGTAATTTAAGTTGTAGGCTACTTTTTTTTTTCTAAGACACAAACTGTATTAGGACAGCAAGAATTTAACTATAAATAAACGAAATTTTTTATAATTGAAAACGAGTTATTTACCCTATTGCGTTGTTCCCATTATCAAAATAAAATTGGATTGTTTAAAATTTTATATTTTATTTGGTGTGAAAAAAATATCGAATCTATAAAAATTAAGGTCTTTAATCTCAATGATAATATTTGTCTCGGTTCTTTCAAGGATTTGTTTTTTGCTCTTTTATAAAAGTTGCAGAGCGAAAGAATCCTCATTGTTTGTCGTTGTGTCAATAACTCCTATTTCGAAGGCTGAACTATTTAACAGCTTTTTTTTTCTATTCTGCCGTATATTTCTCTGCATTGTATAGAATGGACTCTGCAGCCGGAACAGATTTTGCTAGTGTTATTCTAGCTGTATCATTATGTCCCGCCGTTGTTTGTTGTGGAACTGTCAGCTGTCCTCCCCCGCACCGGAATAAGGAAGCACACGTAAAGACCCTTCCTGTGTCCCGACTACAATTGACCACAACTCTTACTTAAGAGTTCCATTTTGTGAAACATAAATATCAACCGAATCTGCCATATACTGTTCTACTTAGTCGTCTATAAAATATGTTAGTGTGTCGTGATGTTGTGGCCTGCACATTTTCAATTATGGTTAGAAGACATTTCCATTTATAAAATAAAATATTCGAATTATATTTTTACAATTAATTTATAAGATTTATTCGACTTTGATCGCTTCTTCGCTTGATATAAAGTTAATTTTCTTAAATATTTTTGAGTTTTAACAAATTTTACTTAGATTTATCGTTCTTATAATAAATGAATGTTTAAAATTTTAAGTTTACAACGAAATAGCAATTTAAAATATGACTTATTAGCCTAAACTCCATATTTTAAAGACATTTACTCGATTTTTCTTCCAAGTTTATATTCATTTTAAACTCCATTTCCATATATCACACCTTATTTATCTTTCAAAATATGAAAAAGATTATATAGTGTAATATAATTATATGTATTATTTCGCATTATAAAATGAAAAATATGGAAATAAAAGAAATTTGAATGATTAAAAAGACGAAAATGCTAGCGCAGTTTTCATTTAAATAAATTGGGTCTCCATTATTGTCTGCTAATTAATCTTTAAAATATGAGTAGCATTTACATCTATTACCTATTTAAAATTAAATTTTATGATCTCGAAATTATTAGGCTACTTAAAATTTGGGAAATTAAATTAAAACTATATCCGTATTAAAATAATGTAAAATTTTCATTTGGAATGTTTCCTATAATTTGAAATATAGATCATTTGGTTCTAGGAGTTATCAAGAACTAAGCACATTCTTCTAATGATCCTTAGAGTTAAAGATCACGAAAAAATTTATAGAAAAACGCATTGATTTAGGTAATTTAAAGAATAATTTTTATCTTTTAACACTTTTCATAATATTTGTTTATTTATTTCAACAACTTAATCATTTTAATTCATTTACATAACTGATGATGACAACAATTCTTTTCTATTATTTAGGTGCAATCGAGTGAAAATAGAAGAGGAAGAATGTGTATATAAAGCGTGTGTAGGTCTATATACTTTCTACTAAATGTACAAATATTTAAAGCCACTTTCTATATTTTTACTTGTATATAGACTAAACAGTCTAAGCCTATTCTACAAACAATATGAAAATAAATAAATAAATAAATAAAATGAGATTCGATTTTTAATTAAACAAATTGATATTTCTTTCAATAATTTTATAATACAATTTTAGTTAGGCCTACAGAATGTATATACGTTACATTTTCTGAGTATCGGACTGAATATTTTTCAAAAAATGACCGAAATTATCAGATAATTAATAGGGAATTAGCTATCGTTCTATTCATCATTTAACACATTTTATATCGTAGAAGCTTCTTTAAATTAATGGCTTTCGATTATAGAAAAGGCCGATACTTTATCTACTTTCTGCAAGAAATTATTATATTAGAATCACAATTTTTTTTACAGCATAAAATATTGTTCTAAATTCAATAGTAAAAGAGTAAAAATTAGCATTTTTCGTGTAAAAATCGAGAATAATAGACTTAAAAATCGATTTTGTTTAAGAGCTAGAGCATTGTTCTGTCATTCAGTTTTTCAAATTGAGGACTTTAATTCGAAAGTAGGATAAGAGGTGTAAAAATAATCTTAAATCTCTGTTCGAATTTAATTAATTTATTATATTATCCCAAAGAAAATATGTTTCAATTTGTTTTTAATTAATAAGGCAATTATTGAATTCTAAATTAGATCAATTTAAATGAAAAGCAAACTACATTCTAGAATATAAAGTTCTCGATTCGTACCCCGAGGGCCTAAAATGGTCTATACTTACATTCTCATGTTCTATATAATCGATATAGGTTTCGAGGTGTAGGTATGGGAGTCCGACTTCCCATGTCCAGGGACCTGTAGGGAGTAGATTTATAAAGATCAAAGTGTCAAATAAGTAGAGATCGATCCGATATAAAAAGAATTGTATCCACAACACGCCTTCAGGAATTAAAACATCACAAGGGATGCAAAAGGCCAGGGAATATTTGCATTTAGCTCATGTTTTCGTGCCGATCATATCGAAAAATTTCGTTTTAAAAGTCGTATTTATCATGAAAATAATTTAAAGAATTATCGGCAATGTAATTAAGATGATCGCTTAATATTAAATATTATAATATTTAGTAATTTGTACAGAAATAAATGCATAGGTCTACGGTTCTTATTAATTCGTAAATAACTCTCGGGGTTATGTTTAAATGTCTTTATTTAAACTTTATAGAAATATATATATGTATATTATAAATATAAAATAAAATAATATAAATTTATTAATAAATATTTCAATTTTATATTTTTTAAATTCTATATTTTATATGTTAAAGTTCTGTAGAAATTTCACTTATTCTAATTCATAGTTTGGATTATCTATTGACATATTAGGCCTAAATTTGTTTCCTTAATTTAAAATGAATAGATTTATCTAATCTTACGTTTTCGTTGATCTATGAAATTTCTTATAAATCTTTACAATATTTTCATTATATCTTTTAGGCCTATTTCATTGAGATTTTCTATTTATAAAGACTTCAATGAATTTTAAATATGGCTTCTTCTATTCTTAAAATTCAATCTTTTTATATTACAAAAGATTCAAATTGATTTGAAGTTAATTTCGTTTTAAATTATATTATTAATGTAAAGAAATATATTTTGTATTATTCACTAGCAAATTATAAGAAAAATATTAAACAAAATTAAAGGTATTTTATTTTGTATTGAGTTTGGATAAGAAAGTAAATATATGGCATTTCTGTTATCAAAAACTGTACGTAAATTGGCCCATTAAAGTTCCAATATATTATTGTATTATTAATCCAGGTTTATTTGCTAATTATATTAATCAATGCGTTATAAAACAACTTGTTAATTCGTTTCAAACTTATGTATATACCTATAGCCTATGTTATTTAGGCCTTTCTCACTCGACTCTATCCCTTTATATGCTGTATATATATATTGTATAGGCCTACAATTAACCTTTACATATAAATAAAATTACACAAAGGATAATAAAACAATAAATTCTAGATAATTTGAGTTAGAATACACTGAGATTAGCATTGGATCCGAACATAGAAAAAAAAATTAAATTAAAAGATATTTATAAAGCCTATAAAGTTATAGCCTATATATAAGTAGCAAACTTTAATACTCCCCTAAGTGTGTATAATTTGTAAAATAAAAACTTCAGTACGAATATGAAACAGTATTAAGATGCTTAGTCTATAATTTCTGTCTAAAAACACCATACTCCTTCCTAGTTGTATATAGGCCTACTTTATATCCGTTTAGCTACGTTTTACTCTGTGTTTCTTTTAGCAAGACAAATACAATTATCTTAATAACTTATAAAACGTAGCCTATATCGAATTTCTATACAAAATTCTCGACTGTATATATGCTTAACGTTGTATTAGTTTAAGCTATTCACACAAGATGATAAATATCGATCATGACATAAAGAATAAGAAAAGAAGTCTTTTATTGTGTTAGTCTGTCTCACTTTCCCTATTACCCTTATTTATATAATAATATGCAGTGTGACCGAGTGTATTATAAAAGTGAATTTAACATTTGTGCGAGTCAACTGAAGTTGCTTTCTTATATTACTATTATTGTTTTAAAGTTTGATAAATAAGAATCCGTATAATGACATAATGTTAGGTTTAAAGACAAAAGTTTTTAGGAAATAATTCACACCCGTTAGACCTATTTTATTTCCGAGGGGTAAAAAACGTAATTGCTAAATTCTAGTCTGGAGATAAGTTTTCTGGATTCATAATGGATCCAAAGCCAACAGATAAACTTACAGATCAGGTGTCGATAGATAAATTTTTTATGTGAGATGGGCGTCATCAGCAAGCAGTTCATCACCAAAGAATATCATCTGCTCGAAAGAAACGACATTTTTATATACCCTACCCGCACTTAATAATCTTCAAAATCTGCAAAGAGTGTTGCGTATTATTTAAAAATATATTTCTGTATATTAAATTTTTTCCGTTTGTAACTATTTCCCAACAAGTTTTAATAAAATATCATCTCATAAATATACCCGGAGTGATTTTTATTGAGATGCATCCATGCTTGAAAAGCACAGCGGGTATCAATCCACATTAAGGTCAGATTTTCTAATTCAGAATAGGTTAATAGCGAATAGGTTTTTGTCGGCGAGATGTTAAACTTTTTTAATCTATTGTAACTACACGGCCTATTAAATCGTGTCTGGAATAATGTATAATTTTGGATAACGTATACGGTTATAGGTTACGGAGGTGGAGCAATTACGCTAATCTTTAGCTAATCAAACAATCGTCTTCCCGTGGCAAAGGGAATATGAAAGAGGCATTATATTAGGTATACAATATCAATTTATATTGCCGCTTGACAGTAAAATCTGGTTTCAAAAAGCATTTCGAAGGTCAACATGTAGAAAAGACAAATTCTTTTTGTCTATCTTCGTTCTGATTGTCATTCCGAAACCAGACAAAACTTTCCATCAGCTTCCAACCAAAGAGTCCCCCAGGGGAAAATGTTTTTTTCCTCCACTAGAAAGATAATTATTTCCGCTGAATTTCGAGGCACAGACCACTCAGCCGAGACCGACCAGGTGAGACGGTGGGCGTCATCCCCCACAAGGTCACAGGTGACACGTTGCGCATGCGCCACATCCTCTACATCCTTTACGACTTTTTCTACTTCTTCTTATATTAAAACATATTTACGGCTTTTCTTCTAATTCAATTTAATATGCATCTACGACACGAAGGGCTGCTTTATTTAACATGCCACACAAGCTTCTAAGCATAAACTTCTGGCTTTTAATCCATTAAAAAATTCGTTTTATAAGTAAAAAAAAACATTTAAAATAAACAACTCGTTTCAAATTTAAAAGTTACATCTACCCTTTCGAGTCGATTAAACTCAATTAAAATTTATATTTTTAGTTAAATTGCATTCGTTTAGTCAAAAAGTAGGGTTTATAATGCGTTAAATTTTTTTTAAATTAAAAATTTAGGTTTAAAACTACACTCGTTTATATTTAAAATCATCATTTGACGACTATATCCTGTATAAAAAATTATTTTCAATAGATATTTCCTAGTTTAGATACTAATTGATCATTAGCCAATTGTTTTTATAGTTAAATAATAGTTGTAAAAGCTATTCAAATTGGCTATTTCCTTAGATTGACGAGCAAAATAAATCGAAAATTCTATACCAAATTTTTCAAAACTATTATTTAGGTTATGTGTGTGCCTTATATATATATATATATACTGTATATATACATATAATACACAAACACATTATATCCGGTGACACACCTTCTATTGTCTCATTGGTTGTTACAGTGTTGTCCTATCGTTCGACTTCCGCCAATCAGCGGAAACAATAGCAGTCACGTGTCATAACCATCCGTATACAAAAGTTAGCGGGTAATAATGGTATATAATGAGGATGCAATTATCTCAGAATGGCATTATTAATATATGTTAATATGACAATAAAGAAGCGAGTATATTTTTTTTTTACAGATAGATCCTAGATAATATATAAAAGATTTAAAATAAATAAAAGACATCAATCTAAAGAAAATTGTTCAAGTAACTTTTGAAAGCTGGAAGGAGAAGCATTTCACTCTTCTGCGACAAGTTTGGTCTGTGCAAATATTACTTTTCCTTCACCCAACTCGAAAAGTCATTAAAGATTGCATTCAAGTTCACAACAGTCGAGAAGTGAGCAGAGAACTCTCCCTCAAGGCTATCTCTATTGCTGTTTGTTTGGTAAACGTCGAAAAATATTATTTGACGTCCCATTCGACAGCTTTGAAAATGAAGCCTTTATGATTCCAACCCATATATACAAGAGAATATTTTTCAGAAAATAACACAATTATTGCCGCTATTTTTTTTTATTTATTTAACATTTTTGTTTTAAGCATCGCTCTTTTATTTGCACACATTCTCTACTTTTCTTTCCAACGATACAAACGCAAACACACGTAACTATAGGTAATGACGGTTTGTCGTGACAAAAATCAGTTAGTAAAATTTAATTTGAAAATAACTTATTAGTCAATTCACAGTCGACAAATTTAAACCTTGAATTAGCCTATTTAATATTTTAAAAATAATAATATAATATAATTGCGTGATAAATTAATTAGCGAATAAAACAAACAAGTGATAATTTTTACAAAAGACTCGTGGTTAGGACACTCGAATTTAGGACCCTTTAATTAAGTTTTAAATATTTAGGCCCGGTTAGTAATTTTATAAATTCGGTTTTATTAGACTGGATTTAAATTTGAAATCAATTAAACATCGTTGAATATAATTTTTTAATACTTTATAGGCCTAAGAGAATGGTTAACTAACGGGTGATATAATTTTAAAATAATTATCAAATAACTTTTATATTATATTTACTTATTTCTACAAAATTATGCCTATGAAATTAATGTAAATAATAAATATATAATTAATATAAACACACATACGATAACGTTTTAGTGGGTTTAAGTTTATCTATCAAACAATTAAATACAGGATTTTAAAGCATTTGTATGGCGTAAATTAGAGGTAAAATTATCGAACCACTGATTATAGGCCTAGTTGTATGGACTTTTTTCAGTTAATATTAAAGCAGCAAAAACTTGACCTAATTCGAACTTGTCAAATTTTTTTGTAATCTCGGACAATAATAGGCCTATCGATTGGATAGACGTGTTACGAAAAGAGAAACAATAGCCGGGCTGCGTTGACAAAATAGGACAAAAACTCGAAGTTTAAAAAATGAATAAGTAAATAATGAAAAGATTTGGAAATAAAATAAAATAAGTAGATCGAATTATTCAATTTCTATATTTATCGCTGTAAAATAATCTAGAAAATGGAAGGAAAAAAATTGAAATTATTGGTTTTTTTGGATGAAAATGTTAGGTGAAGTTAATGCAGGCTATTGATTGAAGTATCAACAGGTTAAAAGCCTGACTCCATCCTGTTGCCACTGTCAAAATAACAAAAATCCAACGCGTCAAAATAAACTGTTGCTTCATCTTTAAGCCATGGGAGAGATGATAATTTGGTCTATCGATCGGCTTTATAAAGGTATGAAAATAATTAAGCAGACAATAAAGGCAGACCCATTAAATTAATTCTCGTAGAAAGTTAATTAGGCACATATATACACACCTAAATTGGGATATTGTATGTTGATAATATCTCGTCGGTGTCAATAATGATGGGAATAATCAGACAGATTTTGCTGCATTGATTGTAATTTCTAAACGAATACAATACGTACAAATACTATCTACAATCGTACAGAGAGTTACAATACACAGATCAGCTATGGTACAAATCCCTCCTAATAGAAGGAAACTCAAACACTTACGGATCCTATAGGCTGTCTCTTCACACATCGACTCCTGTCTCAGAGGCCTTGGCTCGCGATAGACAAGCTGATAGTCCGAAAAGATGATGAGGCGACAGAGATTGGGCAGTTGATACTTGACTATCCAAGCCTTGCTCTCGTAGACTTGTAGAACCGTAATTTTCGGCCACTCGCAGGAAGGGGTTAAGAACTAAAGAGGGCGAAACGGTGCTATTGTGACGAGACGGCTCATACAGGGACGGCGAAGACAGACCGTAATTGGAAGGACCACATCCGCAAGACATGAAACAGGTGGGCACCTGCAGAGGAAGATTCGAGTACAAGGACGCTGCACTAGGATAAGTAGACGAGTTCGAAGTGTTAAATGTTTTAAACGGGTTTAATAGAGATTCGGGTGGTGGAGGTGGTGATCTGGATGTTAGTTTTCCGCCTTCGTGTTCGTTTCGTTCGTCATTGGGAGAAAGTCTACTAGATGCAGCCGCCGACGCTGTGGATGTCTCTCCTAATTGCGGAGCGAAGGGCGGAATAATGGCTGGTACTGTTACAGGTAAGCCCGTCGGGGCGAAGAATCCTCGGCTGAAATTCATACTGAGATAGTCCACAGGTGGCATGTAAGGTATCGAGAAAGGAAAACGCTCTTTTTTCAACAAGTTCTTTGGTTTCCTACGTGGCTTGTATTTGTAATCGGGATGCTCTTTCATATGCATGGCTCGAAGTCTTTTGGCTTCTTCGATGAACGGTCGCTTTTCCGTGTCGGTCAGATGCTTCCATTCAGTGCCCAACCTCTTGCTAATTTCCGAATTGTGCATTTTGGGGTTCTCCAGAGCAATCTTCCTCCTTTGGGCTCGCGACCACACCATGAAGGCATTCATCGGCCTCTTAACGTGGACTTCCCCGCTACTGGTATGACGAGTGGTGGATAAATTTAAATCGCCATTACCTTCTTCTCTCACCTGTTGATTCTCAGAGAGTGTCGCTTCTCCATTGCCGGCCAACCGACCATCCCATAAAACTGCTAACTTACGAAACTCCAGTTTGTCTTCCTTCCAAGACCGCTGATCCAAATGATAACCCGCCAGACGTCTTCGCTCGACTGTATATAACGGGAGGTACACGTGGTGGAGCAAATGTCGATGGTTGTCTTGGCAACAAGAAATGTTAACCAATCGCAAGGTACAACTGGTCTGAGTCCGCCCGACTGTGAATAATGCGAGGGTAAACCCATCCTATTGGTCGACTCTATTCTGAGCGCGCCTCTTGTATCTACTTTGCTTACACCAAGCTTTTTATTGCGTTTTTTTCTGCTGTTTTTATTTGTTAATCTCTGTAGGTAAATTAATCTGCTTTCTTCTCTTTCATTCATTATATTTTCGTTTCACAATAAAGAAAAACGAATTAAAAACAGGCCTGCGAAATTCTTTAATCAAGCCCATAATATTCTACGAATTTCATTCAATTTTTAACTTAATAATTTCGCATGAACTTTATCCGTTCTTTTGATTAAATCAAAACAATTGATTTCGTATTTTCAATAAAATATAAACATAGAATAATACTTTTTAATACGTTTATTTTTCTCTTCAGAAAAATCTCAGATCCGAAAAGAAATCGGCTAAAGAAAACCTGTTTAATATCCTAATTATAACAATTAAATTATCAATAATTAACTTCCATACGACTTCAGGTAATTTATTATAGCGTGAATCTATTAAATGAATCTACGACATAATACTTTTAGCGTTTAAAACCTAAAAACATTAGAAATAAAAAATTTCTAATAAAAACATAAATAAAATCCATGTTTATTCACGTATTTCAACTTTCTCTCCGAAATTTCTGATGAACAAAAAAATGGTCTAAACTAAAATTTAAGAAAAATAATTTTATAAAATGTAGCATTAATCAGAAATTAAGTTAGATTGTAACAAAATACAATAAAAAATAAATATGGCCTAAAATAGGGCTTATTCTGAAGCCCTATCTTAATTATACTTATTTACTTTTATGCCATCTTAGTTCAAATGAAAGATATTCTTCCTTTTGCTACAGAATTTTTCATATTATTATTATTACGTTAAGGATTAAGGGCACTTATAATTTCGATTTATATTCATCAAAAATAAGTTGTCCTATAAATAAAAAACAGTTAAATATTTAACTCGTATAAAATTTATTTAACATAAAAGAAATGAGCCTATTCCTCCAGTCACATTATTTTTCTTAGGTGTAAAATTTAGAATTTACACCCGAAATTTAGAATTAAGCTCCATAAATTTAAACTAGGCCCATATATTCTGTAGTAGACTGATATTAAAATTGCAGAGACACTCGCACAGTTAAAGTAGGCCTATCTGATATTCGATAATCATCTCTTGATGATCTGAACTGAATTCACATTCGATATCAGTTAGAGGTGGCATTTTTATAGAAAATAATTTAAGAAATTTAACTCTTTAATCGATTTGTTTACAGATTAAAGAAATTGTTAACAGATTAAAAGGAAAATTAACAAGATTGGGTAACTAATAGAATGATTCAAAAGACAATTTTGTTACCGTTTAAATATTTACTTCGTAAATGAGAACCATGCCTCTTTTGAAAATAAACGATTAATTTATCTTCTTTCATTATAGTTTAAGTATATGTTTGTACTAAAAATAGATTAGAAACTCCAATAAAATATTTAGAGTAGAATCTAAATAACTAAAACGATTAAAAAGAAATTAAGCACGAACCGTCACGTTTGGGGTCTAATGATACGGGACACGTGGCCTTCTATTGCTTCCATATGCGTTTATCCAAAGTGCTTAACAGATGGTAAACTTTATGCTTTTCTCCATTGTAAAGTCCTTTAGGCTTTACGCTTCCAGGAGATTTGTTGATAATAAAGAATATATATACATATAGAGGCGTATAGAAAAGGCCTACATATAGCCTATACCTCACAATGAAAAGATTGATATATTTAAAATTAGTATAAATATTGTAAATTATAAAAACTAATATCCAGTTTTAAACTATATATTTTCCGTTTATTTAATTGTTGAGCCAGTAAAAATATATTAACATATAGAATATTGTTAAGGAATCCGTATACCTATAGGCTGTATTGAGCAGAATATAGCTTTATAGAACAATAAACAATTGTATTAGATTACAATATAGAATAATAATATTGAAAATAAATCTGGAAGCTGAGATTAAAAGTAGTGTAATATTTATTTTTTATTTTTCTTCTTGTAAATGTTAACTTAATATTTTTAAAACCTTTTAAAAAATTTGTTTAATTAATAATAAATGGAGAGAATATTATTATTATTATTATTATAAATATTGTAATAAAAATTCTTTTAGAATTATTAAAAATTGATTCGAAAATAATTCATTCAAATATTTAAAAATTATTATTGAAATTATTAATACAATTTTAAATTGAAGCATTATTATTGGTATTAAATGATTATTCAAGTTGTCAAAAATCATTCAATTTTTAAAACAAAATAACTTTATATTTACAAATTATATGTAGGCCTATTAAAAAAAAAAAAAATGATTATTGTTCGTGTCACACTTCTTTCTCAATAAATAAAAAATATTTTAAAAAGTTTTTATAAAGTAAACGAAAATATAAAAGGATATAAAGTGTTATTTTTTCTTTTTAATTTATTGAAAAAATCTGAGTTTGGAAACAATAAATAATGAAAGGTCACACAGATTGGTTGTGCACTTGAGCCTTTATAGTTATTACGAATCAGTAATTAATTACAATAACCGCTTCAAACCCTAGTAATTATTATACGACGAGTACAAAATATATACCTTTTAAATTTTTTTTTCTATGATACAGAATAAAATATTTCTTAGACAAAATCTATTAAAATTAGAAAAAGCGGATGTTTCTCGTAAGAACAATCTTCCTTTTTAATACAGTTTGATTAAGTTTTTAGTTATTAATTCTTTAAAATTAAGTTACGGGTGAATGGTGAAATATGACTCAATCGTCTTATAATAAATTAGCAATAGGCTATTGTACTGAGATTTAATTTGAATAAAAGGTAAACCGTAAGTGTATATAATCGATGAACAATTGATATTTTTCAATAGACTAAACAGTAAATTGTTTAATCGATTTTCAGTTCGACACGACCGAAACCGATTTTAATTAAATTTGTAGCATTAAATTAATTTTATTAACGGTTATTTTTAAAAAATAAATATGAAAATTTAATTACAAAAAAAATAAATATAAGGCGATGGTTAATTTGAGAAGCGAGTTTAAAGATTTTAAAGCTGACTCATTGATGAGGCGATAAATGATTTGTAAAGAGTAATTCTTGATAAAGATGTAATTTTAAATATCTATCAAAAAGTATTTGACCACTAATTGTTGTTCGTAAAGATAGAAATAGTTTGTAGAAGATGAATTCAGTTTCATACCGGAGTCGATAGATGGACGGCGCGTGTCGAAGATTTTTATACAAAAATTCCCCTACGCGGAGGGGGAAATGAACTCCATATATTGCAAAGGATTAAAATGAGAGAAGATTAAAAAAACTAACGTGTGTGACGACATACAAGATCAATTTTCGTTCAAATCTATCAGATGCTTTGAAAAACAAGCCGTTGGCGAATGCGCTCTGTGGCTCAAGTTAATAGAACTTATTACAACCGAGTAAACGGACCCGTCCCAGGAGAACAAACTCGCTAAATTGTCCTCTATGTGTTTTCACTAGCGATGCTATAGGGCTACGGCGGAGGAACAATAGTGGAAACAAGACTCTTCAAATCAGATAGAGAGGGAAAAAAAAAGAAGTCGAAAAAGCGGATGACAGATAAAAAAAATCCTTCTCTGTAATCTGTGTCTCAGCATTGGGAGTAGAGTTGAATGAGGCTGAAAACTCGATCCCGTTGCTCGTTAATAGCAAAGACTTCCTCGCTACGATTGCTAGAAATACGAAAAAGCCAAATTAAATCCCGTCGTCTGTTCGAGCCTTGGACTATTTTTGCAAAAATTGCCATCCGACAGCCTGTAAATGAGTTTTCTCCTAGGAGCGAGCGTGCCAGGCACGAAGCTAATATACCCAAAATTTCCAACAATAAGTGTAAAATGTGCAAACTAGATTGGCTTATTTCTACTTAACTTAACAGCTTCCTACCAAGAAAATCAGATTTTCCATTCATTCAATCGTTCATTTGTATTGTAAGCGAACTTATTCCCAAAGACCAAACTTTCAAGCACTGACTCATTAAGCAAAGTGAACGTTGAGTGTAAAACGATCCGTACTGACTCATAGTCGTGCTATTGTTCCGTTCAGCACCTTCTCAACAACTAGAGAGAAACTTCAATTAACATAAATGAAGACGATACTGTTCTAACCCGATTAGTTTCCACAGGTGGTCTCACTTATAGTTTTATTATTATTGTTATTATTATTATTATATTGTGGCGGCTCGGGCACAACGCGAGGGAATGACGGAACGATGCGCATAAAGACAAATTAAGATGATAGTAAACACAAAAAGGGATTAACACGTCGATGACATAATCCCTTCGAACGAAGAGGGGAAGATTTAAAAAGCGGGCCCGATTGTCTCCGTCGGACAGTGCGCATGCGTCCCAGGGGAGTCGTAACCCACCAATCCTAGTGATTGAGGAGTTAACAGCACGTGACTATGCCTACACCATTTAGTCGCATTAAAGCGTTGTTTGACGAGTGGCATCCTCTGGGGGATAATTAGCCTCGACTCGCCTCGGACTTATTTGTTTAAATCCCAACAGATGGGATGATGGAGAGGGCGCGTCTCCTAGCAACTAGGGGGTGCGCCATTGATCTCTTCATCCTCGTGCCGACCACGTGGTCCAGCGCGCGACCTAATAAATTTCACCACGTGGTTCGGCCATCAGATAACTTTCGATCGAGACACCGCTAATAATTTTCCTATAGTCGGTCCATGCGAATCGTAAGACCAGCTCGCGTCTATTCT